AAATTAATTTAAACTTCGGGAAGTTTCTGAGATTTACCAAAATTGAAAAAGTAGAAAGCACTTATCAAAAATTCTAATAGTCCTCCGTGTTAAGCTGTTCCTATATTTCAGTCACCAAATTTTTCACTCACCTCAACATCTCTCTCATAGTTCGTTTATGGGTCGAAATGAGGGAATAACAATACAAAAAAATATGTCAGAAAACTACACCATAAGAAGTCGAAAAGAATCCGTTAAGAGGGTCGAACGCTACCACATATACCAAAAGAAGTCGAAAAGAATCCGTTAAGAGGGTCGGACGCTACCACATATACCAAAATGTCCAAGAATTAGGGAAGACGTGGTCACGTGGATAATTAGGCTATAAGATCAAATATATTTTCTTAGAGAGAGTCGAGAATAAGAATAGAGTGCCATCAAATACGCTGCCATTGATTCAAAACCAGAATTATGATAATCATTGATCTGATTACTCCACTAATTTCCTCTGCAATAAATATCATTATACAATTTCCACCCCCAATAAAACGCAATTAATCAGAGATTATATGTATCATAATACAATATACACAACCGACACTCTATCATAATAATGTACGTTAATTTCTCCATTAAAAAACGAATTTTTGAAATTTAAAAAAATTTGATCCAACAACTTCAGTATATGTTTAGCATACAGTATATTGCCGTTTAATTCACCTTACCCGCACCCCAATAGACCCCACCCCACCCCACCCCACACCCAGATTCTATATAAGTTCTGTGGTTTGCCACCATCTCAAATTTATTCTCAATCTGCTTCATCAACCCTTCTGAATTCAAATTCATTTCCATTTTCTTGAATGCACTAATTCTTGAAGGAGAGGCCAATCATAAAAAAGGGCTGCAAATAATTTCTTGATCGGCTAAGAATGTTATGCAGAAGAAGTTCAATTCAGTGTAGCCATGGATCTGTACCAGTGTACCTTAATGTCTATGATCTAACCTGCATTAATGGCTATGCTTATTGGCTTGGTCTTGGGGCCTATCATTCTGGGGTTCAAGGTTTGTATCCCTATCTTGCTTTGCTTCTAAGTCGATATATTTCGTTCATTCGTACAAACCTATTAACTCGATTGCAACATTTCTCGAAGAGCATGTTATGTTACGATTTTAGAAGTTATTTTTCTTACTAACTTTATACTCCAAAGTACTGACTTTTTATTTCATTTTCTATCATCAAAATTATGATTGATTTTATATATTCTGATGAGATTGTGGCAGTTCATGGGGTAGAATATGCATTTGGAGGCCATGAGTATTCAACAACAGGAATTTTCGAAGGAGAACCAAAACAATGTGATGGATTTACATTCAGGAAGTCAATTTTGATGGGATGGACAGATGTGAGTCCTGGGGGAGTCAGGAGACTTATGGAGGAACTTGCACAAAAATACAGAGGAAATACTTATAATCTCATTACCAAGAATTGCAACCATTTCTCCAATGATGTTTGCATTAAACTTACTGGAAATCCCATCCCGAGTTGGATTAATCGACTCGCTAGGTTAGGTAAGTAACTAATTCTATGATTTATTTGAAGAAGATATCATATCATTCAAAATTCTCACATCGCGTATTTTTAGTTCTGACTGTCTTACATTGGTTCCTCGCTGCCTATAATAGTCATTCCTTAGAATCCGGTGAAGACTAGATCGATCTTTAGTATGATTTGATCATAGTTAGCAATCGTCCAATACTCGTGTTAAACATATAGATAGTCATGTTTGTCAGATATACATGCCCTAGAGTTATCAGTATTAAATATACACACGTTTGCCTAATAATCAAATTGTTATTAACAGCTAAAGTGATGTTAGCATTTGATTTCAGAATAATTATGTTTGCTGCAAAAGTGATTGCTTTAAATGAAATGATTCGTCCATGTTTTCAAGTGGAATATGTATTTGGTGGAGCCCCATGTGCATCATTGGTGCTCACTTTTGTTTCAGAAGAATAATTTAGATGCTAATTGATGCTATGGTTAATAAATTTCTCTTTATGATCCACTATAAATTTATTAAATAAATTAATTTTTTTCCTGGTTGATAAATCATATGGTTTCTAGGTTTGTTGTGCAACTGCATAATTCCAGAGAATTTAAATTCCACAAAAGTTTGCCTACACTAAACTGAAGACCAAAGATGTGAAGAAGAGAAGAAGAAACTGAGGAGCAGCTCGAACATATTCCCTACCTCGTCTAACTCATCGTCATCTTCATCGTGTTCTCCGCCGCTTGCCACAACCAGACGTAGTCGAAGCATAAATTCTCTGCCTCCATCTTCGCCTTAGGTTCTTGATTCCATTCCACCCAAACAAGACACAGTGCTAGACAGTAAATATGAAAATATTTTGAATTTTTTTTTTTTTTTTTTCAACTGTAAACTCCACTGACCGAACAAATAATTTACATATCTAATCTTCTTGCCCTTAGATTCTTTTCCTGTAATCTTATGAGGGGTTGCAAAATATTTCAAATCATAACCTTATGTCTTAAGCTAAAAAGACAAGGGAATGTGCACCTTTAAGAACATGTTTTCTCTAACCGCTTTATGCTTAATAATGGCACTTTTGCTTGAATTACTAACCACTGGATTATTTTTGTTGCCAAACTTTTTACTTTTTTAAATGGAAAAGTACCCGAAACTGGACCCACTTCCTTATAGCATCTCCAACGCCATTACTATATTGCTTATGATACAAACCATCAGAACTTTGTAAAAAAGTAATCACAGAGAAACTATATTGGAACTTAAGGAAACTGGAAATGTCTCCATCTACATCTAGAGGTGTAGACCGGGCTGTGGTAGGTAGATCCATGCCGGGCCACCCTCAGCCCTACAGAAAAAATTAGTTGGGATGAACACAGTCCCATCCGCACCCCATAATGCAAAGCATTGGCCTTTTGCGTGCTGGGGGCAGCCAAGCCAATTGTAGACCTCAACATGCACATAGGAAGTAACTAGAGTATGAGAGGGTTCTGAAAAAGTTGCAGAATACAAGATCACGAACACTTTCAGCTTATATATATCTTTGCTTTATAAAATAAAAAATGAACGATAAAGAGGCATTTTTAGTAACAGGAAAGAAGTTTCTAAATGAAAGCAGAATCGAAGTTGCGTAGTTTAATTGGTATTTTTGTGGCAAGTCCAGCTAGCACATACTTTTTGTTGGGCATGTTTGGTAAGTGATACCCAAATCCTCTAGACGATGATGAAAAAGGGAAAAATTCATAAACCATGTATTAACTATGCACAATTCTAAAATCATGTTTTAAGTTTAACTAATGCAAAAATCAGGTTTTTATTTATTTAATTAAATATATTTATTAATTAAATATAATAAGGTCACAATTATACAATTAATGACACGTGTACACAATTATAGGTCACAGATTTATTCATTGGTCACATATCATCAAATTAATTGGTCACAAATTATTTCGAAGTCACGAATCAAAATTTTGATAAGTCACAAATTATTTCGAAGTTATAGATCACAATTTATCTATCGATTTTATAGATCACAACTTATGTCATTGGTCACAAATTTCAAATAATTATAGGTCACGTATCACAAATATAGGTCACAAATGGTTACAAATCCAAAATATTTTAAGTCACAGGTCACGTATTTTCTAATTTGATGATCACAAATTATTTCGAGGTCACGAATCAAAATTTTGATAGATAACAAATTATTTCGAAGTTATAAATCACAATTTATCTATCAATTTTATAGATCACAACTTATGTCATTGGTCACAAATTTCAAATAATTATAGGTCACGTATCACAAATATAGGTCACAAATGGTTACAAATCCAAAATATTTTAAGTCACAGGTCACGTATTTTCCAATTTGACGATCACAAATTATTTTTTTAGTCACAAAATGATCAAATTTGAAGATCAAAGATTAATTATCGGTCACAAACCCCATACACCGATCTCCATCCACCACAATACATGGTCACAAACTCACAAATTATAGAATTTTAAGGTCACGGTTCAAGAGTCCGTCACAAAAACCAAATAGCGGGTCACATACGCCAAATAACCACCGCCTTGCCGCCACCTGAATAACTACACAATCGGCAACCACCATGACCAACAAACAATACAACACGACAGCCAGATCCACTCACCCAACCATCACAGCCACTGCCAACAACATCACCACCGCACCAAGCCAAGCCGACTACTAGCAGCCACCTGCTCCCCTTCAATATACCAACAATACTATACCACAAACATTATATTGACTAAATAACATACCAAAAACCACTACAGAACATACCACAAGCCACTGCAAAACAACACAAACTGTTGCAGTGACCGTATTGGCCTATCGCCTCACACAGCGGCGCTCAAATTGTCACTGCACATCGCGGCTACTGAACTAAGAGTCGCCATTCACAGCAGCGTCGACGTTGGAATCAGCTTCACCTGGCGATGCTGCTGAGAACTCTCAGCAGTCCCCGACGTCAGAGCGTCGATCGACGGTGGGCGCTTTTCACCGACAACAGCAGTAGGATAAGGGTATAGAGAGAGGATTCAACTCGAATGGTAATGTGAAGAAGTTATACGAAAACGATTCAGTGCAGTCGTTCGCAGGGACTATCAGAGAGTCCTCGCGACGTTGCAGCACCGCCGACCGCGTAAACAACTCCAGCCTGTGTCTCATCGAAGAAAGTCCGATTTGCAACGACCCCTGGAGAGGAGAGAGTGAAGAGAGAGACTAGGGATTTTGAAAATGGTATTGGAATTGAATTGGGATAGGTAAATATATTTGATTATTAATAATCAAATCCATACCTGAATATTGAATAAAAAACTTTCCCGGCTGATTTTTGCACTATGATCTTCAAATATCTGGAATTTTGTAATTTCCACGATGAAAAATCTAGGCCCGTTTTAACTTCATAGGCTGTAAGTTTAGGATTGAAGAATTAAATCCATACCACAATTGAAGTAGCCCAATTATGTTGAGTGTTTAGAGGTAATCAGTTTATTGGGCTAGATGCTTAATACCCGACTTTTAGGTAATTTGATTTATCACAAAAAAAGATAGATAAATAAAATCGGTATCTTTCTTCATCTACCTTATCTTGTCATGGATGAGGTCTATCTTTTAGTTAACATAATCTCGCAGATTTTCTATCCTAATCTTGCAAGATTTCTAGGAAATTAGTTCTCCCCACTGAGCATATAAATTGGAGCCTTCATCCTTCATTTTTATCACACCAAAAACAAGAGAAACTCTCCTCCTGCTTAGTGCAAAACAAATCCTCCTCTGCCTTCTTTGTTAAATTGTCTTTGTAACTGATAATGACCTTCAAATTGGAAATACCTTTGTGGTGTGGATCAAGTTTCTGAGCCCAATTAAAAAGGGGAAAATCGTTCTTCCATTTTTCAGTTTTTGGTTTTAAGTTTCTCGAAATTAATCTTTGCAAATCCTTCATTAATTGGTTCTTTTGTTTGATTTATAGGTGGGTTTACTTCACACAACTAAATACCAGAATGAAACACTTTCATTGCAGCAGTATGTATTACAGAAAATTCAGAAGAATTTACTAATTTGATTATAAGCAATGCTGTAGGCAATATAGACTTCGACATGGTTCTCACCTTACACTCATCCAATCGACAAAATTATCAAAGACCAAGGGCCAAGCAAGATCTGGATCATAATTGCTGAAGTCTGGGAAGCTAATCTGTTGCAAGATCATCAAATCAACAAAATTGCATTAATTACAAGGGACAAAAAATAAAAAAATAAAAAAAATACAAATTTAGACTCAATAATTCCCCAAGAAACCCTCTTGTATGCATAAATCTCTGTTAATGTTGGAAACAACTTAGTTTGAAGTGTCTCCTAATTAGTGTATCGGCAGCTTCTGTTAGTCAGAATGCCATCACTGTTTATAACCAAATTGTTTACATAACTCGATCATACAGAGAAGTCACACTTTATGATTTGATGTAAGGTAAAGCATCGAATTACCTCATTACAGAACCGATAGAACCCCATCAATTGATCCAAGTTAATGACCCTGTAATCATTCTGCATCTGCACCAACCATAAATTGTGTAAATAGTAAGTTTTCCTCCGTGCATCTCATCAACTACATAACAGCATAGTACCCAGTAATGTCATCTCAGCAAATACCAAAATAAAACAAAGAAATACTTAAAATTTGAGGTAACAAAATATGGACCAAAAGAATATTCATGAAACCTGAAACATAAAACCAAATTGGAATCTAAAATTTGTTCATTAAGACCATAAAAATCTCGCATTCATTCAAAGGCTGAGATTACATGCATAACCGCAGATGCTCACCTTTAGATACTGAATAAGTGCATCAGCTTGGGGCCGAAAATGCGACCGTAGAACAAGATCCAGCAGTATGCAAATGCATTCAATGTCTATACTCTTCTGCTTTTCCTCTGGAAGTACATACAATACAAAGGGGTTAGCAGGCAGCTGAAATGGGAATTTGAAGAGCCAAACATTGTGTGGAAGCTGAAAAAAGGAGCATACCAGTCAAGCAATATCTAAAAGCGTACGAGTAGAAGTCCACAAAGTTTGATGGCCTTCTGGCCTTGTGACAGGGGAAAAGATAGTAGATTATTTAAAGAACCAATATATAATTACAATCTCACACTAATATTGTGATGCATCACCTAGTACCTCATTAGAATTCATAGTTTCATCTTGTTAGACATCATGTTGTCAAACGACCTCTCAGGCGATGATGAAAACCAATTTTATCAGTCGACATGAATGACTGAACGATAATTCAACATCGAATAATGGATGAACCGACCTAACATTGCTTTACCTATTGGATGGCTAATACTCTTTGTGGCTTGTTGTTTCTTTTTTTTGAACTTAACCCTAGTCGAGCCTACTTACCATATTGTGACTTACCTTAAGTTGGTCATTGAACTAATATATATATTGGTAATTGGTTCTTCTCCTTTGTGCCGTGCTTGAAGAGAACCCGAGAGAGAGAGGTGTTATTCTTCTTCTTTTCCTTCATGCTTCCTGCGAAGTTATCTTCCCTACCAATTGCTTGTGGCTTTGTGACTCTTACCTGTGTGGTATCCATCCTAAGTGTGTGGTAGAATCAACAAGCAAAAGAGGAAATAGCAACCATAGGAAGGGCGGACGCCGGCGGTCGGTCATCCCTCGATTTGGTGTTGAATTCGATGTTTAATGGTTAACTGAGCCCAGAAATCACTTTGGGCAGCTAAAGGAAGATCCTAACACATCTCTAAACAGAAAGTTACAAAACCTAAGACTATCCATATCTCTTTCTCAAGTTCTGGAAGTGCCTTCTTGATTTTACTTATTGTGTCGTGTCTACTTTCAAAGCAAGGCTTGTTCACCACTCTTCCTGAGCAAGTAATAGGATGAGGACATTGAGGAGTATTATTACTATAGTTGAAAAATGTTTAAATGTGCAAGTTCTACAGAAAGACGGGACAGTCTGTGCTTGCGCAAGTGCATGTATTTGGCACGCATATGAATAAAAACATATGACTCTACTTTGATTTTCAATATTTTAATTCCAGGCAGGTAAGCATTCTTGAGTAGAGAATTATATATCGGCATCAACTACCATCCGTCGATGGGCGAAGTGTTGTGTTAAGCATTTGCCATAAACAAGCAAAAAGACGGAAATTCCCTGGAAAAGAAGAACACCTTCTTGTGCTGTCACTTTTATATTAAAGAATTCAATAAGATATTCCCCATTGTGATACAGAAGGTGTAATATACATTTATGAGGTACATCCTTGCAATTTATTCAATAGCGCAAAAGAATACAAACATGCACATTAAGTTGATAAGAAAACAGGAGTTGAAGCTGATAAATTAAACTTAAGCACGTGAATCTATTGAAGAAACAAGAGCGTCATGAGCCAAATCAAAGAACATTAGTAGTGAATATACATTTAAGAGAATGCTAAAGCCTAAAGGTGAAATATCCTTGTCTTTTAGCTTGCATTTTCCTAAAAACATAATCGTTAATGTCAATTTCAATTTTGAAGTATAAAAAGGAAAATATTACAACTCACCAAGCAAGCATTAATATGCGGAAATCAGTATGATCGACTTCCAGATCAGAACAAAGGGACTCAATTCCTTCAGGTCTGCTCTAACATATATTTCGAATCAGTCACGTAAACGCATAGACAAGTAACGTGGGGGAAAAAATATAAAACATCACTAATTCCTCAGAAAGCAACCCATTACTTATGACTATAGTCATAGTATAAAGACACATCTTACGAGCACATTAAAGTAAATGAAGATTGGAACATCTCAATGATTATAAATTTGTACTTCAATTGCTTGAAAACAATTAGAATTTTACAAAATCTGCTTCTTAAAAATGTTGACAGGATCTTAGAGCTGGGAAACTATGAATAATACGTAAAATTGCCCTTCATTAGCTTACCAGATGAAAGGTTGCATACTAAAAATAATGAATTCGTATCTATTACACTCATGTAGTGAGGGAAATAACGGATCAGGTTCCTAACTTCAACTATTATTGAAACTTCCAAAATAAGTAACCAATGCCGTACCTGTGCTTCGCGGGGCCTGAGTCGAACTTCGGAATTTGGGCCCTAGGCCCTAATTCGTAGCAAACAATCCTTTTTTAAAAAAAATAAAATAAAAATTAGAAATTTACGGAATTAAATTTGTTAACTTAAATCAACAATAAAACAACAAATAAATTTTTCGGTGTTCCTTCCTTCTGTTCTCATTAAAGTATTTATTCGTTTATCCAATCTGACTTCGAATTAATGCCTACTCTCTCTCTCTCTCTCTCTTTGAGCTCCAGATGCAGTTTAGGAGCCATGGTATTTGACTCAAGTCACTCGTCAGCTAACAATTACTGAAAAGTGAAAAAAACAAAGGCAAAAAATAAGCTATGAGGATCCCAAAGCAGTCCATGAATAATATCCCAGCAAAGGCCATAGAACAAAGGATAAATGAAAATGATGAAATCTTTATTTTCTTAACTCTCAATTTCTATTTTTATTACTTGGGATTGGGACTAAACCTTGCCACCCCCTTTTTTGGAATAACCTTACTATTAATCAATTCCATGTAAGAAATAAAAACCTTGGTAACTGCAACATCCGCTTCTTTAAGTGCCACTCCACCACTTTTCTGTGAACAAACAATATTTTGTGGAGTGATATTCTTAAAATTGTCTAGTTGCTTCTCGAGAATAGCATATTCATTACAAAACTGATATAAATCTCTCCGACGAATGCAAAGGATCAAGTCCCCGATTCCTTTAATTCTAGGTCTAGAGCTGTCTCAATAGTTTGGATTATTGTGTCATCTAACTTCTAATATTGTGAAGGATCATGTATATGAGATGCCATCTCTAGATAATTATTTGCTTTCAATTAAGGTATCTACAACCAATAACTCGAGTGCCTTTCGAACTAGCAAATATCATTTCCATTACTCTTTTTATAGCCTCATATTTTATTTCAATATGATGCACATCCACAATATGATCCACCACGTCTATAGGCATTTGCTCATGAGACCATTCTGATCCCTTGTGAATCATAGGAAAAAACTCATGTTCAAACAAGTAGCTAAAAGCCCTAAGGCCTACATTATGCAAAAGTCCAGCAAGTTTTCCTTTGTCTTTATGGATTCAATCATAATTAAAGGCTCTGTCCAACTACACTCAAAACAAACACCCTTCTTCTCACACTTATATTCAGCTAAAAGCAAAATTAAAATAAAATTAAAACCTTCTTGAAACAATTCGTAACTTTTTAAGCAATTGAATTGCTTGTATAAAATTAAGCCAGTGAGCCCTATTCAACTTTGAAATGAAATAAAAACCTTTCACATTCTCTTCTTCTATTGTAGAGCTTTGCCATCAAAATAGTACATTATTTTTTTCTCCAAATTACATTTGAATATTTGATTAAAAAGTTAGGAAAATCAAAAATGCCTTCAGAAGATTCAAATTTTCAAAACGGGTGAAAAAAAAAGGAATTTATAGATGAAGTTGAAGAATAGAGCATATCATCAGATTTTGGAAACCGCAAGAAGAAATCAGCCAATAACATTATAACAGCAATTACACTCCAAAATTCCAAAATAAAGGGAAGAGAAAAGGGGAAAAAAACTGAAATACTATATTATGTGCAGGAAAGTGAAAGAAAGAAAAATAATAAATTTATATTTTAGACATAACCTAAACAAAAAGGAGCGGTGAATTGAGAGGTGGATTGTTGACGGTGAATTGGTGAGGACGGACACCACATTAGCTTCGACCACCACCGCTGGACATGTAGGTTTTGCCGTTGATTTCTCGGAGTCTGGAGGTCTTTTCTTTTGAACGCATGAGCATAGTGCGTTTAAAAAAAAAAGTTAAAAAGTGAAAAAATGGGCCCCTAAAATTATGGGCCTGAGGCGGAGGCCTCTTGGGCCTCCCATCAGGTCCGGCTCTGTGAGTAACAAGAGAGAGAGAGAGAGAGAGAGAGAGAGAGAGCTTTCCTCATCTCCATCCCAACAATGGGCACTAAAGATAGAAGTGTTGGGAACCTACTTACACGTGCATAGTGGAATTTGAAATTTATTTTCGATTATCAAGAATTGTCTTTGTGTTTAGATAGAAATTGTGATTAAAATATTACCTTTAGCAAAATTTTCAAACTCCTTTGAGAATCCTGAACACGATCAATCATTATTGTTCATGAAATATTTCTTTCGACTTAAAATTACCGTAAGTGTATGGTACGTTAACAAGTAATAAAAGAATATTAAGTTTTGAGTATCGTCTCACAGAGATCAAGTAGTTCAAGTTTATCTATCTTAGCCTTAACTGAAACAAATTTGTCAAAACAAGAATTTATTCAAAATTATACACTTGAACTAATTCAAAATTATACACTTGAAACAAATTTGTCAAAACAAGAATTTATTCAAAACAAGTTTTGAATATACACTTTCTCTCGAGATGTATTGAACCTATTATTATACACCACTGGTCTATATCTCTAAGACAAATGCATATATAAGAATGCATGTGGTTTTTTAAATATCTAAAGATTCACACAAAGTATAGGGGTATATCTCTATCTTCTATCGGACCCTATGACAATTTATACCTTGTCAAATTTATTTCACTTCTCTCGAACAGATGAAATAAACCACCAACCATCACATAATTACATGCACTTAATTATGAAAGAAAATTATTGTATATAAATTATTCAAACATTCAAATACGTGTTTATTGCCAAATTGCAGACTAGAAATTAATGAAATCACATCATATGGTACATCGATCTCCTAGTACATGAAAACCTAGCCTATCATGAATAAAATAACAGAATACATGATAAATTGAAGAAAAAACATCACCGAATTATGAATTTGTTTGAAATCTCGATGATCTTCGTGTAAATCCTTGTTACTTTGGCTCAAAATTCTCTCCAAGATGTGTTTTCTTGCCTCCCAATGCATTCTGCCTCGAAATATGATGGCTTTAGGCTTTTATATTGCATCCCAATCGAGTTCTAAAAGAGTTATATCGAAAATAGGAAACTGCAAGACCGGACCCTCAATTATGCTCATGCGACCGCATAGGCTTAACAAGGCGTTCTGCCTCAGAATATGATGGCTCTAAGTTTTTATATCGTGCCTCAGTCGAGTTCCAAAAGAGTTATATCGAAAATAGAAAACTGTAGGATCGGACCCCGAATTATGCCTATGCGACCGTATAGGCTTAACCTATGCGACCGCATAGGCTAACAATTTTGGCCCTAAGACATTCGGGAGGCTCCTATGCGATCGCATAGGTTCCCCATTTTTCGAACGTTGATTTTAGTCCTTAAACTTTATTTTCCACATTCTTGGCCTCGTTTCTTCCTTCTTTTCTTTCCCTCTATCAATGTTAACCTCCAATTGGTACTTGACTCGATTGAATCTTTGATTGCTCCTTTGGTTCATCTTTTGGATATTTACGTGTTGGTTCCTTAACTTCCATTTTGGTTCGTTTTGGTCCTTTTTACTTCTTTTTCTCATGAATTCCGCCATTCCCATCACTATACCCTACAATCCAACAATTGAACGAATTTAAGCCAAATTTAAATATTTTCCTCGAGATTTAGTCATGTTTGTGCATTAAATAAGTGCACAAAAACGTACTTATTAAATTTCCCAAACTTGAATTGTTGTTTGTTCTCAAACAAAATAGCGACTTAACTCAAAAACAAACATGGCTCAATAACCTTTCATGTCTCAGGATTGGACTAAGTCTCTTACTTTAATAAAATTGATTAATGCATGAATGAAATCAACCTTTACTTGTTGAATACATACTTGACGTGTGTGTGTGAAGTCATGCCAACATATCAAGCTCATGATTGGTTAAATCCCGACCCCAAAATGGTCAAATATATCCTTACTTCGCTCGAGAGATACACAACCCCCCAAATTTATTCTTTTCACTCAATTATTTCGGGGTTGCGTTTTAAAGTTAAAAGAATACGTGACTGTAGTCCTTACCCTCTCTTTGTTTGGATAGATCTCACCATCACAAGTTCGCATGTCGACAAGTGAAGGCTCTCCTAGATTTGATTGCTTCAACACTCGAGATTAAACTAAGTTACTTGTCTCTCCTTGAATGTGTGATTTTTATCAATCGAATGTCCAAGGGTTTTATCCATAATATCGTATTCTATATTTTTAACATTCTCTACTTTTTTTCATTCGTTTTTTGTGTGTGTCATCTTCTCATTTGCTTTCTATACAACCCGTGTAGCGAACTTTAGACCGATGTTTCCCAAACCAGTTGGCTTTAGGGCACCAAGTTTTACACCATTGCAGGCTTATTCACTCGAGTTACAAAAGCTCGATCAGATGACTTTTTGTTGACCTCTTTCCTTCTTGCTTTCTATATGACTCATGTAATGAGCTTTGAGTCGATGACTCCCAAACCAGTTAACTTTAGGGTACCAGATTTCTAGATATCCTTAAAGGCTTACTTGTTCGAGTCATAAAGGCTTGGAAATGTGTCATATTTTCATAACCTAGATTTATGTCCCTTTATTATTTTTCTAGACATTTAGTCTCTAGAATCAACCCCCAATTTAAGACTTTA